GTTACAAAAACTTCTTTCTAAATTAATATCCCCGATTTGCATTTTTCTTCCGTAATTTAGAACGAGCGAGGCTGCAACATTAAAGAATAATATGCAGGGAAAGCTGTATTTCAAACTAGCGTTTATTATGGAAATTAGATCCTTGACTGAAAGCCGCTGTCTCCCGTAGTTCCGCAAGTAGAATATGGAGGTGCCTGGTCAGACGCATTATAATACAGCAACGAAACTTCTTCATTTATTTATATTTTCTCGCCCGTATTGTCGATTAAATTAAAGGATATTACTTCGCGGACATTGTAACAAGAATTTAGAACAAGCGTCTGTAAACATGGATTTGTATCTTTTCTTACGATTTATAAACTACCTAATAATAAATCTCTTTGCTGACAACTATATTAGCTTTACTTCACTTTACTTTCACTTCAAGGCACAAGGTATAAGATTTATTTACGAAAAGATTCACTGGTATCTGAAACACAAGAATCTGATATCTCGTATTAATACCACGGTCCTCGTTGCCACGGCACACGTCGTTCGTTATTATTTCGAAAAGCAGCTAAGCCGATTTCGCAGTTGTGTTTCGCAGAGAAGACTGTAATACTAAAAAAGTACTGGCTAACCATCTCTCGGCACAAGTTCCGTCCTTTGTATCCCGAACGTCCTGTTTTTGATCCATTAGTTTGTGATACAACAAAGAGACACGGAAGAGACAGAGAGGTCCATCATTTCCACGCATCTCGAACGGGGTATAATTTTTTTCTCGAATTCAAATTTTTACTCAGTCCACATTCCGTTAATTATTTCCGTGGAATATTTAATTTAACAACGTTCCACGAAATGTCACGGTAAGTACTCTCGTAAGAAGTTTCTCTTACACTTTTCTTGTTGCGAGAAACATTCGACTTGAAATCGCAGATCATAATCACAGCCTTCGAGGTGCCAGGCACTAAGAAACGAGACGAGGATATAACGTTGACATCGCACAAGGTACATGCCTTGAAATATTACCTGATAAATATTCCCGTTTCCGAGGAGGAATGGTGAATTTTACGACAGGGAATATAAAAGAAATCATCGCAGCCTCGGTATCGTTCAACTTCGAACGACAGAGAGACGATAAAAGGAACGTTCGATCGCGGGCCATAATTCGTTCGGAAAGAGAAGGAGGTGGTTCGTGAGGACACGTGGTATAACAATCACCCTACTTTTAACAACGTTGACGCCGGTTTTGATGGGCAGGGAAGGAGTCGACACGCTCGAACGCGAGGGAGCGCGTGTAAGAATTCGCTACAATCAATTCCGCGGCAGCCACCCCTCGTCAGCAATCCCTGCTTTTGACCCTTCACGTGAAATATTAACTTGTCCACGTGCACAGCCCTCTCTCTCTCTCTCTCTCTCTCTACCTTTTTATCTACGACAAACCTGTGTTCCGCCACACGTATACACACACATGTACACACGTGCGCGCGTTTCTGGCCTACGTATGACCTACATCAGGCTCGCGAGTGTATTTTTGCGGGATAGCGCGAAATTGAAGGAAATACGGCTGCGCCATAGCGATTCCGTTGAACACGAATTTGCATATAATGCAACGGTAATACGAGTTGAGAATTTTCGACTAATGCAATGGCAAGAGATGGCGATATCAATTTGCATAAAATTCCGAAATATCGTGTTACGATATCGAACGAGGGATACCAACTGCGCCGTAGTTTACAACTTCCGGTTGCGTGTAAGAGAGGATCATTTTTTAATCGGATACAGGGAGAAAAATTGGCCGGTCCTGAGTACACGCACCACTGTCTAGAAACCGTTTGATCGACGTCGAGAATCAGGTGCAAGGATCGTTCTTTTTGTAGCACAGATCAGATTGTAGAAGCATTAGAAAATTTATGTAGAATGAAGTATTAATTCAGCAAGTATCGTTCTTTTGTTTCATTATTCTGAAAACGTTGTGAAATCTGGAAATAGTTAATTGAACCAGTCCTGATCTAGTGTCTGTAACTTCCATGTGTAAGATAATTTATTATACTCTGCTTTTTCGTAATTTCATTTTGTTTGTTTTACGTTTGTATTCTAACCTTGTGGTAATTAAAATCTATGTTGTAATTTTCTATGTTTCATTTTATATATTAAATTCTGTTAACATTATGGTATTTTACTAAGTATGAAACTATGAAATAGTACTAAATTCTTTCACGAAAAATTACAGCAACAATTTGTAACATCATTTTGTCTAATGAAAAAATTGAAACATCAGTCATAATTTCAAGGGTAGATTTTTTGCAAAAAAAACATCCATTTTTATCAAGTTTTTTAAATCTCTTTCTTCCTACAAACCTAGACTAGACAGAAGACTAGTGCAATAATTTAGAAAGCTGTCGACACTCTATATAATCTTTTACCGAAACAGCATTACAATCTCACACAGACTGTTATGCACACACACGATGATTCACAGAAAACGTACTCGACAAAACAAATTCCTCATACTTCGCAAAAAAGGTAATAGCAATAACAACGATTCAAGTTCCCCATGCTGTTTCTCTTATTAATCTCATAGAAACTCTCATGCATATACAAGAAGCGTAGACAAAAATTCGACGCAATATCTTACAGACTCTCTCCGTATTCTCTGTCTCTCTTTTTCTCTTTCTCTCTCCATCCTATTTCTATTTTCTTCCGCATCCACTAGGATTTTACTGTCCCCTCTCTCCCCTCCGTTCGTGCAACCTATAACTCACGCAGTTGTTGGTGGCGATTAAGCGCGGCTCTTGACAAAAAGCGGCGCGGCGCGGCGCGGCGCGGCGCGGTCGATCATTCCGCGCGACCTCGATCATCGCAGTTACAAAATTCTCGCGTATCACGCAAACACAGCGCGGCAATTAATCTCTCGCGGCCGGGTGTCCAGCAAATAATCCGTCCGCCGCGCCGTTTCTTCGGCCGGTTGTTCACGCTCGAGGCACGCGCGCGCGCGCCTCCTCCCGACCGACAAACTTGCCGACCCGTTCTCGCCGCTGTTCCTTTTTCGGCTGTGCACGCGAGAATTATTTCCGCGTCGTTTCCGTCCCTCCGGTCCGGTGCCAGGAAACGAACGCCTGGACAAAACGACCATCGCGGCGACAACAAGAGGGAAAAGGAGGAAATAAATAAAAATGAAACAACGAGAAAGGAAACAACCAGCAGAGGGAAGAAATGTTTTTACGCCCACGCAAGAAACGAACGAGTCCATTTTTAATTGTTTTATCGTTGAAACGTGAGCACGCTTTGCTTTCACCACGCGGTGATTTCTGTTGCAGGATGTCGAGAGTTCTTGGACTTTGGCGTTATTGAAAATTGATACGATTACGCGCGATTTTTAGCCAAAGTCGAAAATAAAGGCGAATCAATCCGCTAGAGCGTCGCGCATCTTGGACTTATTATACTTTCGTACGTAATTTTCATTCATATACCTGTCTGACATTCTTGGAAGTCGCGCCAGGAAAAAGTGTTTTACGATTTCGAACATCGTGATCAAATTAATCCATGTTTCGCGTGATACTTGCTAATGGATGTTAAATTTGCAAGTGATGATAAAAGTATTTTGGAAGTGAAAATAATTACTGGTTATTGAATCGGATAATAGAGGGAAAATAGAAATGATTCGCAAAAATATTCGAACACGTGCAGATACTTTCTACGAGATGAATATTTGATGTATATGATTTGATATTAAATTGCTCTGATTACATTGGTGAAATTTTAAATAAATCACGGCAATCGATCCTCGATACTAATGAGATTTCAAAATGTTTCATATAACACAAACGACGTGAGCACAAGTATTT